AACCAACAAGGTCCTTCTGTATAGCAGAGGGAATTCTGCTCAGGGTTATGTGGCAGCCTGGATGGGAGGGGAGTTTGGTGGAGAATGGCCATAGGTATATATATGGCTGAGTCCCAATTTTTAGGAACAGTCCCACCTGAAACTATCACAACATTGTTAATCAGCTATACTCCAACACGAAATAAAAAGTTTAATTTAAAAAAAGATGCAGGTTTAAAGAAAGAACTGATATTACAGTATATACAAACTATACTGATACTATATGAGACTTTGGTAATCAAGAAAACACCATGCCCTGGTTAGGCTGTGGAAGGAGTCAGTGACTAAATAGTTCTTAAAAAAAAACCAAACAAACTTCCAAGAAAGTATCATAAAACTTCTGTACTATAAGTTATTATTAAAAGAAACAAGATCTTAATGAAATGTAGTCTTTGATGCCTCTTATATGATCATTGGACTATGTAAAGAAAATAGAAAATAAGAACCTGGCATATTTATTGTTCTCTAACTTGAAATTCATCATAGACTGAAGAATTATTAGTAATACTATTATTATGTCAACATATATGCTATGAAACAGGTTTTAATCATAAAACCATAATGAAAATTGAGTGTATAATTGTACATGTTTATATAATTAAGATACATAAAAACAAATACTTTCTAAATGTTCCTTTGGATATTACAAAAGCTAGCAAACTAATGAATGGAAAAGTAAATACGTATGTATGTATTTTGCCAACACTTTAATTTAATCAAGAAACTACCTTGTGATATCATCTGGGTCATGTCAATAGCCAAGAAACCCACACGATGTTCTTCAAAGTGAAAAGACAATTTTAACACAAGACAATAGCTAAAACTTCAGTTATCAATAATAATTTCTTAGGAGCTCCCAATTTTTCAAGGTGTTTTACTATTTTTACTTAGAATCCAGATTTTTTAATAGGAACATTAAAAAGTTCTGTTCAGAGAGAAGAATAACTTTAATTATGATGACTGAGTACTATAACATCGTTTTTCAGCCTCAGAGAAATTCAACAGAAATCACTCTGAATAATTCTAAGTGAATTATTCACTTAGATTGTTTTTTTTGTTTTTGCTTTGTCTGTGAAGAATCTTGGAAGTAGTCAAGGTATAAATTAGCATATACTGAACTCTGATATTACTTCCAGTAAATGCTGAAATCATTTCTTTATGCTAAAATATCGGTATGAGTCTTCTTCCCATAAATAAGCTCTATCAGGCCCCAAACTTGTGTCTGATCATCATGGTCTAGTGAGGTTACTTTAGTGTTCTGATCCCTTTATTACTGGTAGTAAGCTCTAATTACAAAATGATAATAACTTCATATAAAGATTAATGAAACAATTTCACCCAAAAATATAGCATGTATATAATCCATTGTTCAATAAGGATTTCTATGGTTTAGTTCAATTTTTAAATATGGTCATGACTAAGACATTAAATTATAATTTTAATTATAGGAAAATGAATTAATTTCAATATATTTAATGTGGAAATTATTTACCCATATTTAAGTAAAATTTAACTTAAGCAAGACATACTATCTTTACATAGCTTCCCCACTGACTTTTACATCTGCACTCGGGCTCCTTATCATATTTCATATCACCAGCTCATTTAATAATTCCAAATCAGAGCTATCTGTTCAAACAACTCCTGATGAAATCTAGCTAAAGACTCCGTGGTAGAAGGCAAATCAACACAGCTTTTTAAAAATTTACTACATCCCCCACATTGTTCATTTCATTTCTTTAATTCTAAATTTCATTGGAAAAGCAATTATCTATGTCTAAGTCACATCGCCAAGTCAAATAAGGAAAGCCTATTTTAAACCTATCTGACCTCCAGCAAGTTGACTATTAATTATGATTTTTAAATTGTGGAAGTTCATGTTTTAAGGAAGATGTGCCTTAAGACTGTATATAGTGTCAAGAGTAATTCAAATCAATATAGGTGTGGACAGAAGCTTAAGATGTTGGCAAGAAGAGAAATGATTATGCCTAAATTTGTCAAAGCATAAAATGGATTTAGAAAAAAGATGGGTAATACTTGCAAATAGTGACTTCTTTTGCTAATTCAAAATATATTTTAATCACTTGAGATACATTGGCCTTTCTTATTTATGAAAAAGAGCACTGCTATTCTGAGTTATAGATAAGAAAATAATTTAAGGAAAAAAAACATCAAAAATGTAATTAAACTATTGAGATACGTAATCTTCAGTACTGGTCAGATTATAGAAATAATCACTTTTTTTTTAAATTGCAGTTATACCACTTACCCAACTTTTTGCTTCTATCTTTACTCTCCTGGTAAAATCATTATGTGTTTAAAGGGAGAGAGAACAAAACAGGTAAGGCTGCAGCAAAAGGTACAAGGATACAGTCCCTTCCTGGAAACAGGATTTTGTGGCGAACCATTTCTCCCATAATGCATCCCACAGACCATATATCCACTAGAACAGGAGAGAGGGAGGTGAAGAAAAGGGAGGAAAGTAAAGTTAACTAAGATAATTGGTCTCTGAAGGAGGAGGAAAAAGAACAGTTTTGATTAGAAGGTACAAATTTTTGTCTCCCACCAAAAGTTGGCCAGAAAGGTGAATTAAAACCAGCACTGTAATAGGACATAAATGATGTCTAGTAGAAGAACTCAAGTTTTAAAAATGACTTTGTGAGTGCCTTCGATTATCCTTTAGTGCCATAAAGTGGTAATGTGGACAAGCACCAGCTTAACCAAACTTATCTCCCAGTCAGGTGACAGCTCAAAGCCACCACAGGGTTTTCAATGTCATTCGCTGGAGGGAGAGAAAATAATCTTAATCAACTCTTAGGGGTGGCTATTTTCATTTTCTATTCTACCCAATTACATGAATAAGGCAACTAAAGACCATCTTTTTTTTGGTCCAAAATAAGGTATATGCTGCCAAATCCAAGAAAATAGGAAATGGCTGAAACTATGGTTTAAAGGCAGAAGTATTAGTGACTTCTTTTACTAATTCGAAACATATTTTAATCACTTGAGAAATGTTGGCCTCTCTTATTTATGAAAAACAACACTGCTATTTTGAATTATAGATAAAAAAATAATTTAAGAAGAATAAAAAAACACTGAAAATTTAATTAAGTCCTGATATTCAGGACTTAGTTTTTCCCTCAGAAGTTATTCTTATAAATATCAGTTTGAGTTACTTTTTGAAATACTTCAAGAAAAAAGATGTATAATTAATTTGCACATGTATAAAGGAGTCATGAAGGAAACAGTATTAATGGTGTTAAAAAGTTGTTATGCACATATGTTGGTTTCCCAGTTGCCATGCTTGTTAACGAAACATACTTCACCTTCTCCCACTAATCTTTACCCTCTTCCAACTCGCTTTTTAGTAAGGATGAAGGGAACTGGGCAAAAACGTTAGGCTAAAATGCTCCTTGAGGAAGGAAGGCAGGGTTCGGGCATAGGAGAGCTGGCATGCCTGATGTGGGAGCAAGCGGGTTTTTGTGCGTGATAACCCTCATCCCACACGTGGGTGAGAGCAGCACAAGGGTGGTAGGCATGCTTTCTCCACGGATCCAGAGAAGCCAAAAAACGGAGGCAGAGACTTGCAATCCTTTCTAGTGAGGGAAGGACAAGGGATGCAATCACATGCCATTTGGGTTCAGCAAAGATCTGAAAACCACTAACAGCAAATTCAGACTCCCATACAGATTTTTGTAGATTCTTGTATTTTTTAAATTGGTTCCCACTTTGATTTTATTTTTTTTAATATGAAGAATGTATACAACTATGTGCTTTTCCAAAAAAGTTAGATGTAGTATTGCCTTGGAACAGGATTAGTTTTTTTTCCTCTTCCAAGTCAAAAGGAAACAGAACTCTGCCACTGTTCACCACAGTAGGCCTGACCTTCCTAAGAACTTTTTCACTTCCTCTGCACAAATGCACAAAAGTACTGGCTTTCCTCTAATCTGAAAGGAACACAAGAAATTTTTCAAAATTTTGGTGGCCAGGGAATTTTCATAAAAGTACTCTGTAGCACCTACACATAAAAATACAATTACAATGATTTCTATAGAACTTATAGCTACCCAATAACTCAATAGAATAAAGCATCAAAATAAGTATGAAAGGTATATTAAGTATACATATACAATTCTACTTTAAAACAGTTTTAATTCCTGAATATATTGGATACTTTTTAACACACCTCATTACTTGTTAGGGCTATTCTTTCAAAATAATACATTGCAGTGCTTTCTAAGAAGTATTTTTATAAATCCTCATTTTAATAAAATCAAATTGTAATATATTTTGAAGATTTTTTCTACCTTTTCTTTGCAAGTGTTCATGAATACTAGATTTTTCTTTATGAAAGCAGCAGTGTAAAATTTAATATTTTTCTCTCTGTATGGTTTTGGAATTTATAAAAGCTTACCAGATAATTACTACCTTAACTATTACTTACAGAACAGTACGCATCCAACTTGAACAATTTGGATTATTCTAAAACGACTATGCATTGAGCATGTGTGAAGATTCTTGCTCCAAGGATTTGTGGTATCTTTTTGTTTATCTTTTCCTAGGACTAGAGACATCAGTTTAAGACATGACATGAAGCCAAATGGTAAAATGCAATAGATGGATTTCTTCCTGTTTATATTCACTGTGAGTTGAGCTGCCTTCTAAATATCAGTGTTTCTGAATATCTACAGCACGTGTGCTCAACAGTATCCATATGACTGTTTAATCAGACTCTATTTATAATTCTTTTGAGTTATAACATTCCAGTGTTCTTCTAGCTATGCGTGCTTCTCAGAAGCATCCTTCATGTTGATTCTTCTTAGTAGTAATTTTTGAAAATCTCTGACTATGAAGGCTGGTAGCCCTATTTTAAAAAATTCATAGACATGAGAGAGAACACTGCTCTTGACATATTTAGTTTCTTTACAGTTTCTGTGGCTGCTACTCAGAGGCATCCTTACCGTTCTCCTTGTAGCCCATTCCCAGAATGACCTCAGGGGCCCGGTAATAACGTGTTACCACATAGGGAGTCATCATGAAGCTTGTGCCTGCTGTTCTGGCCAGCCCAAAGTCTAGGATTTTCAATGTACAATCAGACTTGACTACAATGTTACTTGGTTTTAAGTCCTGACAATAAGAACAGAGAAGAAATTAAAAACTAACATCAAATGGCACATGTGATGTCCATCTACTCAATCAACATGGCATCTTGCAATAGCACTGATGGGCCTCCCCTCTGGCTGTAGAACCCTACATAAAGCCAAAGAGTATTGCCCCAAGGAAGCTTAAAATTAGGTTTGGGATTTTTTGTTTTAATATCCTCAGAAAGCTTTTTAAACCCAGAAGATAACTGCATCATTTTTACAATTTTTGGCTCATCTTGGGAAGAGGTTTTTAGGAAAAAAAAGAATCATTGATTGTCATCTGTTAGGTTTCTCTTTACAGCAACATAAGCCTTTTAGTTTATATTTCATTTCTAGGCCTGACAGAATAGCAGATCAGGGCAGCTGTCTTTATGGGACCAGAAACAAACAATGGAAATGAGTTGTCTTGTTTCAGCTGCACGTATGACCTCTGTCAATCAGAATTTCTGAGAAGCCTCGTAAGCTGACTTTCAGTGAGCTGAAACAAAACATTAAACAAAATCAGCTATGGTGTGCTAAAGTTTCCTCCTACACATTAGTGAGCTATGTGCCTATTCTATAGTAAAATAAATGAGGAAGTACATTATATTTAACCAAGCTCCCCTACATAAAGAATGTAATCTACAGTTGCTCTTTATTCTCCACAAGCAACTTAATTATAATTCTGGACTGTGTTCTTACCCTGTGAATAATCCCAGCAGAGTGAAGGTGCTTGATGCCACACAACATTTGGTATAGTAGGTAAGACATTCGCTCGTGGTCTAACTCCATCTGAATCACCTGACACAAGTTAGCATCCATCAGTTCCATTACTAAGTAACTGCAAGGTAAATCCACATTGTTAGTTTCAAATCACAAGACCCATGAAGTCCTTCAAACAAGTCAGAATCCTCTTCTAAATCTCTAAGTCTTCCAAACTTTCCAGCTCAACCTCTAAGTGAATTAAGAATATGAAAAACTAAAAAAAAAAAAAAAAGAATATGAAAAACTTGCAAGTATTGCATGCGTGATAGCCATGGTAACTCTACCACAAAGGTCCTAATAGAAGTAGCATTTACATGTGTGTAGTTTCTATTTGTGTAGTTTCTACCTTCATTTTGTTCTCAACTTTACCCTGAATTCCCTGAACTCTTTCCTGAGTATTAACATTACAAATAAGAAAAAAAAATTCAGAATAGAATTTTCCATTAAATCCAGTGTACCTGTGTTAAAAAAGACAACATGCTGTGATTCACTTATAATCACTATATTCCTGGTAATTTTTTTGCACAAAATCCAAGACACCACAAAAATAGATTAAGGATGATTTTTTTTTATCATGGCCACCATTAATATTTCTCAAAGTGAACTGACTCATTCTAGAAAGCTCACAAAATACATTAAAAATAAATAAAAATAAAGAATAAATAGCAAGCCTTCCTTGATTCTGATTGAACCAAGAGCATGGGACAACAAAACACAAAGAATCAGAAGGCCAGAAAATAGCAGAACTGTCTTTCCAGGAAGAAACATCAGAAAATGAGACTTCTGGGATCCCTTTCATTTGCTGCCAGTTCTTAAGGAATTTCATTCATTTGACTCTTGTCAACGTCACTTGTGTTACTTGAATGTTATACTCCCGCTTCCTTCATGAGTTGTGTTACTTACACATCTTGGAACTCCTCCAGTGTTTTCTGGGGTGTGAAGACATTTAATAAACTAATAATCTGAGAAGAGACAGTGGGATGGGAGGAGAGAAAGAAAAAAGGAGAAAAATAATTATTTGAAAAGCATATTTAAATAAGTACTTATTCCGCTCAAAGTCACATATTAGTACAATGATGGAAATAGAAAAGTTGGAAAATTTTTCTAGAACTGTCTCACAGAAGAATGTACTCAGAAGGAGTACGTGATCTATCTTCGGTTAAAATGCAATTATAAAGCTCAAATTCTTAGGCAGAAGAGTCAGAGAAGGTACATAATTGTGATTTTTCTATAGAGGGTGGTTCTCCTTGGTAAATATAAGGTGATAATATAATTAAACAAAAAAGGAGGAAAAAACATGTAAGGAAAGTTAAGCATCAGTGAAATATCGAGCAGGACTTGGCAAGGCTATATGAGGGTGTTGTGCGTGCTCAATTGTTTCAGTGGTGTCTGACTCTCTGTGACCCCATGGCCTGTAGCCTGCCAGGCTCCTCTGTCCATGGGATTCTTCAGGCAAGAATACTGGAGTGGGTGGCCATCCTACTCCAGGGGATCTTCCCAAACCAGGGATTGAACCAGCATCTCTTACGGGTTCTTCACCACTAGTGCTACCTGGGAAGCCCATGTCTTCCTCCAAATGAAAAGTTTGCTTTCTGTGTCAAGGAGATGTTCTAAGTCAAGGAGGTATTCTAAGTCAAGAATTTTTTATGTTGTTACTTTAGTTTCTTTTGCTCCTACTTCATTCACACTCCAATACTATTTAAACTAAAACTCCAATGGTATGTATGGGGAAAGGTATGTCTTACATGATATCGATGATGAGTTTAAAGGCAAATGTATTTTAAAAGTTATTAAAATTCTGGGTTTTGAACTTTTTTGTTCTCCTGCTTTAGTTATTTAATATACTAGGCAGTAAACAGAATAAGTAAACTTCTTTAAAAGGAAGAAACCTTTGTCTTATGCAACTCAATTGCATATATAAGTTACTCAAAATTTTCTTTCAGCTAAATATTCTTTATTAATGTGCCAGTGGGAAATAAAAATAAAAACATAGAAAGCAATACTCTACTCATGAAATGGATGCAACCGTTTCACAAAAACAAGTGGAAGATTTATACATCTTTAAAACATGAACTAATGAATTTCAATAAAGTTCATAAGTGGTACACAAACAAGAAGTAATAAACAAGACAAAATGATTTTCAACATCTGAGGAACACAGTCAATTTAGGGAATGATTTAGGTCTTCAGTAGTTTTCATTTGTTGATAAATTACTGAAAAAAAAAATCACAATACTATCCAATGCTTATATACATATATATGTAGAGCCTGATGGTCTACAGTCCATGGGGTTGCAAAGAGTTGGACATGACTGAAGTGACTTAGCACACTTGCACAGGTATATATACATGGCAATGGTTGTATCAAAAACCAAGACCATCTATTCTGAAGCAACCTTGCAGTATGGAATATGCATATAGAAATAAAACTGTCAAAATATTTTCAAACTTGTGATTAAAGTGCTTTGTTATTCTGTATACTTAGTTATGGTGTGTGTTGAAAAATATCTCCAGATCTCATTGGAACATATATTATGAGCCTGTTTTTATATTACCTCATTAATCTTAGAAAGTGATTTATTTTGCGTGTGTGCCAAGTTGCTTCAGTCGTGTCAGACTCTTTGTGACCCTATGGACTGTAGCTCACCAGGTTCCTCTGTCCATGGGATTCTCCAGGCAAGGATCCTGGAGTGGCTTGCCATGCCCTCCTCCAAGGGAGCTTTCTAATCAAGCAATTAATTTTGATATTTGTTCAAATGAAAACATCAGAAACTATGTATAGGACACACACATACACAATCCATACAAACAACTCTTAAAGATGAAAAAGTGCTAATCGATATTACCTGGTGAATAGATAATCTATGTAATCTAAATTTATCTAGAAAATAGCATTACAATTTTAAATAAATCAAAGTTTATTACTTTAAAAGGTAAATTCCCAACTACACATTGTATGCCTTTTTACCATGTCCTTCTTGTAATACCTTCATTGTCTTTGATTTTCCTTTGAGAATTTCTCCTCTGTTCTTCCTTTGATCCCTTGTAAATCCTAATTCTTATTAATAACCAATTAAAAATCTTGTCTTTAGAAACAGATCATCACAGGTATTTCCACTTTAGTTCAACAATTTTCAGGCAGGAATCTGGATTCAGTTCCCTTTTATTCTAGCATCTTAAACGGCACAGCTATGAATCAATGACCCCACTATCATATCAGCTATCACTTCCTAGACAGGTGTGCATTTTCTAAACAGATTGTCTTCTTTATTATTAAAAATTTAATTGGCATAATTGCAATATTTTACATTACTTTAACAGCATTAACAGAGTTCTGCATTCTGACTACTTTTAGTTAGTATTACAAGCACTAATGTGGAATTTACATTTAGTTGTAAGTGAACCTCCTCTCTATTAGCAAGTTCTAGAAATTTATTTCCATTGACTTATATATATATATGTATACAAACCTATGTACATACACAGATAAATGGAGTAGCATATCAGATGCCATTTAAAATTATTATTTCAATTTGGAAATCCTTTCAGGTATCATGAACATGAACCCCCATAGTCCAGTCAAGATTGGGGAATATGAGTCCCTCATATTGGCAAAGCAGGACTTTGTCCACAATGCCTTTATTGCATTACAGGGGCTGGAAGAAGGGTTAGGGAAATATAAATATATGAAAACAAAAACTATAAAAAATTCCCATGTAGTTGCTTCATCATTTGTGTCCATCCATCTTCCACTGCCTATGGTATTTCTCATCCTCTTTGTTATCATAAAAATAGATTGCATTGGTCATGTGGCTAATCTTGCTCCTGGCTTTATTTATCATACTCAAAGAACAAATTACTTTAGTAGAATGATTTTTCTTAGGAATCATCCTTTCTGTCATTTCTGTATTCCTTCCTAGAAGTATCATGTTCCTTGCTGGGCCAGACTAGAGATGGGTTCACACTTCATAAAATTTCTCTTTCTTAGTAAGGCCTTTCCTGCTCAACCTATTTATAAAAGAGTTACCTTATCCGTTCTGCACTGACCAGTAGCTTTTATCTTCCTTCTTTGCCTTGTTTTACTTGATAGACATTCCATACATAGATATGCCTATTTTGCAGACTGCCTTTCTCTCCTCAGTAGAATATGAGCATCACTTGGGCAGTGACTGGTCTCCCTTATCTTCACTGCTGTATTGTTAGCATCTAGAGCGCAATCTATACCTGGCACTTTTATTCAGTTAACAAGTATTTGCCAAGTGACTGAACTAAAAACTCATTAAAGTAGAGTAATAGAGGAGAAAAGAAACACTCTCATTTGGCCTAAATCCACATATTTTTATTTCAAATATCTTTCAACTACACACTCATATATTTGCTTCTACTTAGTGCCTTACGACAAATTCACCTATTTATAAAAGTGTACTCATAATTTCATATATTCTGTGAACTGACTCATATTCGAGAAAGACTTTGTAAGCAGTTAATATTACAGTTTTATAGTAATAATCTACTTTATTACATGTTTATATGTAACAAAATATATACTATATTTATTATGATTTATTTATTATTGTCTTTATTACAAGAAGAATTATCTCCCACTTATCCTTACTAAGAAGAACAAGAGCACAGAAAGAATTCTAGAGGCCTTCACCGGTGGTTGAAGATTATACTCTGAAGTGAAGAAAGCTCTGTAATGGGCTCCCTACTGAGTTTCAATGCAAAATGCTTTTCTTTTTTGTGGCTGCACTGCAAGACATGTGGGATCTTAGTTCTCCACTGCAGTGAAAGCACAGCGTCTTACCCACTTGACCTCCAAGGAAGTCCCCGAGCAACGTTCCTGACAAACCTGCTCTGAATGCTCTGCAGATACGTCTCTGCACCTTTGCCCCATCCTACCAAAAGCAAGATGCCAGAGCGCAGTATGTACACTGAATAGCTGGAGGCCACTGCCAGACTATAACCAAAAGTAAAAGGAGATAAAAATCTTCACCTGCTAATAATTAAATTTAAATTACTATAAAGCAACATAGCATATTGTTCTTTAAGATATTTGGGGTTTTTGTTTGGTTTTTTTGGAGGGTTTTTTTTTTTTTTTTTGGAAATGCACGAAGTTTTCTTGTTAATCTGGAGTAAGAAAACCAAATATGGTTAATTTTTTTAATTATTTAATTTATTTTAATTGGAGGCTAACTACAATATTGTGGTGGTTTTTGCCATACATTGACATGAATCAGCCATGGGTATACATGTGTTCCCTGTCCGGAACCCCACCCCACCTCCCTCTCCATCCTATCCCTCTGGATTTTCCCAGTGCACCGGCTTTGAGTGCCCTGTTTCATGCATCCAATGGTTAATTTCTTAACAGGGAAATATCTATCCAATTTAGTCCCTCCATGCCATATGGTTTTTCAGATGATTTTTAAGCAGAAAGCTACCGTGAGGACAATGAAAGCAAATGTAGCATATGGGCAGGATAAACAATCTTAAGAGGCAAAAATTGCAAAGTAAAGAAAGCTTTTCCCACTCAAGTTGGCATACTGATCTTCTTTTCCCAATCTCACCACCTCCCACCACCAGCAGTTTAAAATACCAACTCACGTTTTTATGATTCACACACTTCATGAGGACCAGCTCCCGGTAGGCTCTCTTGGCATGCGTTTGGTTCTGAAAGGGTCTGCTGAGCTTCTTAATGGCCACATTTCTGTCAAGAACAGCATCATACGCAGCGCTGCAGAGACCCAAGAGCAATCCGGAATTAATAACAAAGGAGCCCTTACAATTCCTGCCTACCGAGCTAAGAGAAATACTAATACTAGTTTGAAATCCTACTCACATACCTGCTTCTCAAGACACATGTCAATCAACTGTAAATAAAGATGTAAGAGTGACTAGTATAGAAACCTTCTACTTGCTAGGAAAAGTAAAAGGGTATCTTGTCAAGAAAACAGCATGTAATTGCATCAGTGAGTAGGGGACAAAAGAAGAAAGAAAAGTGCTCGACTTTGCCACTAGCCATGTGACTGTGGCAAGGCATTTAATCTCGAGGGGCTTGAATTTCTCATCTATTAATATGTGATATTTAGCTATAAAACTTTATTGTTCTTTGATTATTTTAAGTAGACATTCATTCTTTCCCCATTCAGAGGAACCAGTTTTTAAGGCATGATGTTAATTGCCTTGAATGCACAGGTGGACTGATGTTCCAAGTGCATTCATTTAACGGTAACAGAGCTTGAAATACAGAATGTAATCAGAGAGAATTTCAGAAGCATAAATAACTGCATTTAAATACAAAGACAGAAATGAATGTTACTAACATTTTAAGCTTTCAAACCATTTGAGAATAATTTACCATGCTTTATGTTTCTGCCATACTCAAAGTACATGGGTCTAGGGGTCAATGAGGAAGTCAGTCTCTTCTTGCTATTATGTCTAATTAGCCCACTTGCAGTTTTTTCCATTCCTGCAAATTTGGATTGTACTAGATTTTGTCTTAGTTGCCAGGAAGGAAGGCAGCAACCAGTATCCTACTGATTTATTGTGCTGGAAGTGACATTAACCATGTAGAGCTCCAGTCTCTACACTAAAAGATAAAGAAAATGATTGCTGCATTGCAGGATGACAGACTTACAAGATAAGTTTAGACACAGCCTTAGAGTTCATCTGGTCCATGCCTGCATTTATACTTATTCCTCTCCAAAATATCTTCATCAAGTTTTGCTCAATCTCTGCTTGAGCAGCTTCAAAAACCTGGGCTCCTGGACAAAAAGGCAACCAACTCTGTCGTTGGACAATTTCAAGGGCTAGAAATGTCATCATTCTAATGAACAGAATTGTCTCCGTGATTTCTATTAACTATGCTCAGCCTAGCCTTCCAGGGCAACTCAAAATAATGTCCTTTTTCATCATGCTCCGCTGTTGTGCCTAGTCGCTCAGTTGTTCCCGACTCTTTGAGACCCCATGGACTATTGCCCACCAGGCTCCTCCTGTCCATGGAATTCTCCAGGCAAGGACACTGGAGTGGGTTGCCATGCTTTCCTCCAGGACTTTTCATCATGACAGACCTATAATGATTGAAATCCACTAAAGACCCTGGTCAATCTCTGGCCTAATCTATAAGCACTCAGTAAGCACTCAATAACTCTTAGCTTTCTTTACTCCCCGCCCCCAGGTATTTTCTTTTGTGAGCTAAATATCACCAATGTCCTACTCCATTTGTCAGAGTGTGATTTCAAGTTCTACTGCCATCTGGTCAGTTTCTGCTGAATATATTCCAGTCTGTGATCTCTGAAAGTGATGTTGTTCCTCTAAGCATGGCATATCAGTGAAGAGTAGAGAAAGGCTATCAACTCCTTCATTCATTTACTTACTCATTCATTCTGTTGACAGTTAATACAGCTGAGTCTGCCCTAGCTCCTTTGATAAATGCATCTCACACTATTGATTCACAGTGAACCTATGCTAATTAGAAACACTGTCTTTTTAAAATCTTACACTGCTATTTGACTCTGTCTTTCAACACTGATACTTCTATTCTTGCGTTTGTTCTTGTTAACCTACCAATGGCAGCACAAGGAAAGGAAAGAGTCAAATGGGCCTTCATCTTTTAGGTAGTGTATAAGGGTAACAATGAGACAGGAAATAGAGGAACTGAACTTGTTTCCTGGAGATAACAAATTATATCAGCAGGAAACTGATCAGAACTGTCACCTTAAAGAGAAAGACTAAATTTAAAGCCAAAATAACTAATGTCAAGTCATTAAAATATCTAAAGAAAGAATAGCAATTAGTCATGTCAGCCTAGGAAGGAGTAAGAGAGGCAAATTCTGGTACGACCTGGCAAAATAAATGCTTCTGATGTAGGGTTCTGGTGGCTCAGATGCTAAAGATTCTCCCTGCGGTGCGGGAGACTGGGGTTTGAAATCTGGGTTGGGAAGATTCCCCTGGAGAAGGAAAGGGCAAGCCACTCCAGTATTCTTGCCTGGAGAATTCCATGGACAGGGCAGCCTAGCGGGCTATAGTCCATGGGGTCACAAAGAGTCAGACATGACTGAGCGACTAACAGTGATTGACTGATGTTGGTCCAGGCATCCAGTCAGCCAGGTGGACATCCCTACTGTGGTAGTCACAGACCTAGGCCAGTTAGCAATCTAGTCTGTGTCTCCTTAGGCTGGTTCTACCCTCTGCAGTTGAAATTCTGCTCATCAGGCTCTCCTTCAGAATCCTGCATGCAAGAAATCCGCCCATATTTGATTAGCTTGACTACTGAATTTCTCGTAATTAAAAAATTTGGCATCTGGTTTTATGTGTGAGCCTTTAGTGAAGCTCATCAATGTGCATTTGAGTCCCTGAGATACTGAACAGATCCTGCAACACTGTAGGCCCATGTGGGATGACCGAGAAAATGTCACCTTCTGGGTATCTGGGCAGGTTCTGGCCAGTTTCTCCTAGAAGTGTTGTAAAGTTCTCTTTCCCTCTGGTACCTCTTTCTGAAACAATTCTAGGTCTGAATCAGCACTACTGCTTAATAGATGTGAAGTTATGAGCAAGTCACTTACACTTTCTGGCATCAATGTCCTCATACTTAAAAATGGAGATAATAACAAGATTATAACAATCTGACAAGATTGTTATAAGGAATAAATGAGGTAGTGATGTATCTACAGTGCCTCGCCTAGAGTGTGCACTCAATAAACAATGACTATTACTATTTTTCAAGTCAATGTCTTTGTTTCAGGGAAGAACAAAATCTGACTCCATGTTGGATCTGTTTCTTTTACTTTAACCTTTGTTTCCCATTGCTTTTATTTACTAAAAGGAAACTGTCTGTACATAATGGCCTGCCTCGGGGAACCCTGCCCCTCTGCCTGAAGGTTAAACCAAAGTGTCTATGAATAGCTGACCCATTCCTGACCTGTGAATGGCTACAGGAAAGAAGAAATTAACACATCCCCTCCCCAAGGCTGGCTATTCCAGGAGATATTTAAAAGACTTTTGGCCTTTTTACTTTACTTCCTAACCTCCTCCACCTTTCCATTCTATAAAAGAAACTGGCATCCAGACCCCTGACAAGACAATTATTTATTTTGAGACACTAGTCTCCCATCTTCTCAGTCTGCTTGCTTTCTGAATAAAATCGCTATTCCTTGCCTCAACACCTCATCTCCGATAGAGGAGCCAAGATGGCGGAGGAATAGGACGGAGAGATCACTTTCTCTCCTACAAACTCATCAAAAGAACATTTGAATGCTGAGCAAATTTCACAAAAGAACTTCTGATCGCTAGCAGAGGACATCAGGCGCCCAGAAAAGCAGCCCATTGTCTTCGAAGGGAGGTAGGACAAAATATAAACGACAATAAGGGAGTCGAAAGAGCTACGGACGGAGACCCGTCCCGGGAAGGGAGTCTTAATAGAGGAAGTTTCCAATCACCAGGAAACCCTCTCACTGGCGGGACTGGGGGAAGTTTTCGGCACTGTAACTGGGAGGAAAAATTAAACAAGGCCCACAGATTACGTGCCTAAAAGCAACTCCCAGCAGAAAAGTACCCCAGACGCCCGTACCCGCCAGCAACAAGCGGGGCGGAACGGAGAGGAGCGGGCGGCATTGCTTNGCTGAATATAAAGAGCATGCCTGTACTTTGTATTGTTTCATAATGTTAAACTGTCAAATGATGCTCATGTACCTCTAGATAAAACCTGTCAGAATATGTGAGCATATGTAATCAAATCATTCTAGGTAAAAGTGATGCCAATCTCATCTAAACTTTTTCTTTCATTTGTTTTCCTCCTAAAAGACCTCAATTTTGCTTGATTGAGGAAATCATACTTAAATGGAGGACTTTCAAGATTTCAGGTGTAATGTTTGCAAATAGACAGCAGTCTTTGGCATGATGCAGAATTTTTCATGATGTACCCACATCTACATAAAGTTAACTAATCTGTTGAATTATCTTTTATTGTCTCTGGAACATACTGTCTTTTGTTGCCTGAGATCTTTCATGAATAGACACTAACAAAGGAAAGCAAGCTAAAAGCTTGAAAAATTATATTTGGCATATTTCTCTGATTTTCTGCATTGATAATAGCCTCACATCAGAGATAATGAACATCAAAACATACTATAAGTATTTCTATATAAATTTCAATAGAAGAGACACATCATTTATTTTCCTATTAGACAAATTAAATATTCCTATAAAGTATTAAACAAAACAAGTCCTTAGGGGACAAGATTTGTAGTAAAATTTACACTCATTGAAAAAGTCACTTGTTTCAATGATTGAAAATCATTTTCAAGGCAGTATTGTGGGGGAATTGCTAACACTTAGTAAATTTGATGGGTTTAAGAGGAAAAGGAAATAGTGAAGGATCCAGAGACCAATGATTCAAAATGAAGGATGGATTGCTGTAGTGTATATATATATATATATATATATATAAACACACACATATATATATGTATGTCATTCTTTTTTATATTTATGTGCTATAATTGGACAGGTATATCTACTAATTAGCAATTTTTAATCTTTCTACTAATTACAAATCAGTTATACTGCCATCTTGACCACATTTCACAAGTCCCACGATATAAAAGTCTGGGACAAAATCTTTATTAAAATCCAGATACATCATAGCCATACAGTTCTATTACCTACCACTTTAATAAGCTATTTGCTATGATTTATTTCTAATGAAACCCCTATTCTCAATGATCACTACATCCT